TGCCATCGAAGAGCTACTTAGCGTCAAGAACAACTACATAATTACAGGAGGTAATTAAGCTCAGCTGATGGTCATTAGGCTCCTCTCCTGACTATAACAAAGACTGCTGGTGCCACGCCCTTTTTGCAGAAGTCAACGCTTTGACTAAAGAGAAACTAACTAGGCAAGCTGGATTGCTGCCAGAGTTTGTCTGAATTGCGCCAAGGTTTGTCTGACTTGCTGCCAAGGTCCTTATCTGTTTGTTTGCTTGGCTTTCAGCCACCGAGATTCTAGTCTTGTTATTAAAGGACATTCTAATTAAGCTCGTCTCGGCTTTTGTTACTGGACGGAGGAGGGGGTCAGAACACAAAACCTAAGGCAACATTCTTGCATTTGTGATGCTGTTTATTATTAGATGCATTTTTTCCTACTGCTACTACTACAAACCTGAAGTAAATTCCGCTGCTACATATAATATACTACAGTAGCCTTATACGTACTCTGTTGCTGAATTCAAACTATAGAATAATAAACCAATCTTCTTCTTTTTTTGTTTTGGAGGGTTTTTTGGTACTTTTTGAGGAACATTAAAAAAAGATATATAAACTACATAAGACAAAAAAAAGTAACATAGAAATGTCTTAACAAAGGTTTAGAAACCTTATAGAGGTTATAATTTCCAATATAACATAGTTAACTATAAATAATTTAATGTATTGCTTTAACAAACTAAAAATCACCATTCAACTGTAAGAATGAATATTGAGAACTAAGTTATAGTTCCCCAACAATTTATAGATAAATCCTAAATTTCTGTTGGAAGCATTTCAAATTCAGTCAGATACAAGTGGTCCCCAGTTAACAATAACAACAGGGACTGGGAACTCCATTGCTGACATGATTGTAAAGCTGTATAAGATGGCCAGGCTGAGGCCAAGGGAGAGTGGGTCAAATGCACCATCAGTCTTGAGTCCCTTTGTGCTCACAAGAGATCTAAATCCAGCTCACCTTGAATTCCGTTGACTCTTAATTTACTGCCAATTTACTTCGACAGTTAGTAGTTCAGATTTAGCGTGTGATAAACCTACATATTCATTTGAACTTCCTGGACTCCTGATTTCTTGCGCTTGACAAAAGCTTGACATCAAATTATTATGTTGACTTACAACTTGTTGTTCCAGTTGTGGTCATTAAATGAATCCAACATGGTTGTTCGGCGCAATGTCAACTGAATGCCATTTGCAATCACTTGCCGACTTCCCCCATTGGAACTGGCAGCGAAGGTTTCAAATAGTGATGATGTGACTGCAGGATGTTGTGTCCATTATAAGTGTGGGTTGGTTGCAAGCGTCTGGATTGTGATCATGTGACTGTCAGGTTGCTATGATGGCCACAACTTTGAGGACCAGCTAGAAGTCTACTTGTTCAGCATTGCTAATTTTGAATGGTTGTTGAACAGTTGTTAACTGAGGACCATGTGCACCACAATATTCCCTCTTACAATATTGCCTTTTGCGTTCTACAAATCAGGTAGACTAATTCATTGTGAAGTAAGGCTCTGAAGATTTTAGTTTCATCTTGTTAATAATTAAATCTTGCAACCTAAACAAATTATTAAATCTCCAGTGAGCACATTTCTTAAGTGTTTTTTTTTTCCTGCATAGAAATAAACAGCAAAACAAAAGAAAAGAAAATCTGGGCTTATTTTTGTTCTGCATTTACTCCAAGTATTCAGTATATTAAGTATTTTGCATGATCCCTTGGGAATGGTTTATTGCTGTTTGTTTCAGCCTAAAGATATTTATGCAATGCATCTAGAACTCCCGTCCCGTTTTTAGAGGTAGGGAACCAGGAGATACAAGCCACTTTGAAATCCGTGTTAAACAGCCAGCATAATAATACTATTTATAGTCCAGAACTACCAGTCCATCTCACTTTTGAATCCTGTAAAATCTTTTAATTTAATCTAATTTAAATTCTTTATTGGGCCACACATAGTTAATTTAATTTAATTTAATTTAATTAAATTTATATACCGCCCAATCCTGAAGGACTCCGGGCAGCTTACAACAAAGAGAAAAAAAAAGGAAAAAAAAAAGGTTTAAAATCGCAACACCACATACATTCATTCTAATCGGGCCTGGCCCTCAAAAGTGAGGTCAACAGCCCCCAGGCCTGCCGGATCAGCCAGGTTTTTACAGCTTTCCTGAAGGCCATGAGAGTGGGTAT